CCCCTGCAGCAGCGCAGCAGCCTGCGGCCCTTCCCGGGTCCAGCTGGTCTTGCAGCCGCCCTGCCCGAGCTCCGGCAGAGCCCACAGTCCTGTCCCCGGAGCAAGAGTTGCTGCAAGCCGTGTCCTGTGCGAGTGCCGCTGCCACCACCGCCTCTGATGCCCCGGCCCCGGACCTTCCCGCGGCTGCGCTCAGAGGATCTGCTCGGTGCTGGAGGCGGAGAGGTCCAGGAGCCGCCAGGCTGCATAGGGGTTGAGCTCGTCCTGGTCCCGGCAGAGCGCCCACACGTACAGCATTCGGAGCACCTTGTCCTGCAGGTGGGAGGGGTGAGGGCTGCTGCGGGCTGTCGAGCAGGGAGGATCCCGGCTCTGCGGGGCTGGGGCCATGAGAATCCCCCAGGGTGGGAGCAGACCTGGGACTCGGTATAACTGGGCAGCCCAGTGCCCTGGCCCTGGGTTCTCCCCCGTCCAGTCCCCACCCCTGACTCACCGGGTCGCCCTCCACCACTTCGCCCTTGGGGTTCCTGACCACCATCACCAGCTGGGCCTGGAAGGTGATGATGAGCACCGGCCCCTGCTCCATCATCTTGCCCATGGCGAGCTGCAGGGGGAGCGAGGCAGAGCCAGCCTCAGAGCGCGCCCGCCCTTCCCTGCTCTTCCTGCCAGGGGCCCCGGCCATGAGGCTCTCAGACCAGCTCCAGGCCTGCTGCCACCCAGCTTCGGAGGGGAGCTCCCCCGAGACCCGGCCACGGGCAGGCCCAACCCTGCACGGTTCACACAGGCTCCCAGCCCGGGCTGCTGTCTCCAGGCAGTGCTGTGGCACGGGACGGCTTGCTGTCCCCAGCTCCCCACAGGGAGATCTGGACGACTGGGATCCGGCCCCTGCCCTTCCCAGTGCAGGTGCTGGGGTGTTGCCACCTCTGGGGTCCCGCACAACCGGAGGTCTGGGCAGCCCGCGGCCTTCCTCGGAATACTGCAGGCCAGCAGAAGCTGACTCGAAAGGGACCCTCTGGGCCATTTAGTCCAAGCACCCGCCCTGCCAGAGCTACTCTGGGGCTGGGGCGCACTCCCCCGGCCCGAGGGGCCGTCTCCCAGGCCCTGTGTATGCTGCAGGTCTCATGCCCAGGGTCAACCGGGCACCCTGAGAGCCACTCACATCGACATTGTCCACGTCCAGGATGCGGGAGTGGAACTGGAGGCCCAGAGCCTTGGCCCGCTGGATCGGGTGGGCCAGCTGGCTGTAGGTCTGCAATGAGAGGAGACGCTGTGGGGACAGCCAGCTGGGAGGGTCACACGGCGCTGCCACGCAGAGCACTGCCCGGCGCCCCGGCCTGAGTCACACGCTGCCCTCCCGCTATGGAGGCGCCCATGTCTCCGGACCCCGGTGACCGCAGGGATCCTCAGCGAGGGGGCGACCCTCCCCGGGCACGATCGAAGCTGCATTCCCAGAAGCTGGAGGCTTCCTGGCTGAGTCGTACCGCCTTCACATCAACCCCGCTCCGAGTCCTGGCCCGGAATCAAACGCCTATTCCAGGATTTGGCCTCCACCCGTGGGTTGCTCTGAAATTAACCGCCTAGGGCTGCCTGCCGAAAACGACACCCTCAGCCCCCTCTCCGGGTCCCAGGATATCGCCCTGAGACACGGGTGGCCACGTTTTCACTCCAGGCGTCTCTGAGCTTGGCAGGCAACGCTGGTGGAAGATGTTCCAATAGCATCTCCTTTTTATGGAAATGACTGATCTTCTGAGGAAAAAAAAAAAAAAAAAAAACAAAACCAGCGGTGCCAATCCTGTTTGCTCGGTTTCTTAAAGATGACATTTTAAGACACCTCCGTGGAAGCAGCATTTCCAGGGGCACTGGAGCTCCCTGGTGGGGATCATCAGCCATGGCTTAATGGGCTCAAAGCACAAAAAAAGAAAAAAAAAAAAATTAAAGAAATACCCAAACTCCTAACTGCTTGCTGCATTAGTCAGCGTGCAGGGGAGTATTTAAAAAGAAAATCTGACATCTCCTCTGCTTTTTCCGAGTTGTTTGTGAGCTGGGTACAGAACAGAATTAGCCAAAAAAGACTGGATTGCTTAACACAAAGGAGCTGGGGGTGGGGAACCACTCATGGACACACAGGTCAGGCGAGCAGGGTGAGGCGAGGTGGCCTGACCAGCCACGAGCCCCAGGGCCGGGGAGGCAGCCAGGAGCCGGCAGACAGTGTGTGTTCCTCAGGGCGCCTGCCTGACAGCAGTGCCCGCCACCGACGGGCACGGGACCCTACGCCCTGGCTGGGAGAGCAGCAGGTCTCCCCGGGACACGCCATTCCTCCCCGGGCGGGAGGTCTGGGCATCTGGCCTTGCTGTTTCGGGGTCTCCCGATGAGCAGGGCTCAGGCGTTTGGCGAGCACCCTGCAAGCCCAGAGGCCAGCCGCTGTGTGGGTGTTTCACCCCGACCTGTGGCCCGGGTGAGAGGGGGAGCTGGGACCATAGGGCCTCCTGTCACCACATGTGGGACCCACACTCCCTGAAGGCCCCCAGCCTGAACTCCAGGCCACCTGCCACGCTGGACCCAGCAACAGGCCACAGTGGAAACCTCCTCTTACTCGGTGGTGGGGCAGCCTGTCCGGACACTCCTTAACCCCAGTATTCTGGGACAAGGAGGAGGGGCGGGGTGGCCCTGGGACACTCCAGGGAGGACCGAGGCAGGGAGCCATCATCCTATCCAGGAGTTCGCAGCCTGGAACCAAAGTGCTGGCAGGGGACACAGAGCCCAGCCACGGGTGCACACGTGCCTCCGTGCTGAGAAGCGGTCGGCGAGGGCTTCCCCCAGTAGGCCAGGCCCGCCCCGCCCCGCCCCACTCCGCCCAGCCAAGCCACCACGGAGACCACCTTCCCACACTCTGGCTTTTGGGCCCAAGGTGACCGAGGACATGGGTGTGCACTCACGGCTTCGTAGCACCAGTCTTTGAGGACGTCGAGCTCTCCGGAAACCATGGCCTACAGGGAGGAGAGAAGCGTGTGAACGTGGTGGGCTCCTGAGGCAGCCCGAGAAGGCTCCTCGGCCAGGGTTGCCCCTGTGAGGCCCTGGGGAGCAGAGGCCCCATGTGCACGTGGTGGTGGGCCAACCACAGGGATGCCCCAGGTTCGCCCCTGCAAGGCCCCGGGGAGCAGAGGCCCCATGTGCACGTGGTGGTGGGCCGACCACGGGGATGCCCCAGGGTCACCCCTGCAAGGCCCCGGGGAGCAGAGGCCCCGTGTGCACGTGGTGGTGGGCCAACCACGGGGATGCCCCAGGGTTGCCAAGGACCTGAGAGGAAGAGGCAGCGGCTCAGCCCAGGAACCTGAGTCGAGGAGGCAGAGGAGCTGGCTCGGCTCTCGGGGCCCATGGCTCAGCCTGGACGGATGGCTCCTACCCGGGGGGTGGCAGAGGGCAGCTCGCGGGGTGGGGACATGTCCTTGGGAACACGTAGCTGGAGCTAGTCTAGCCGAGCAGGGCAGGAAGGAGCCAGGTGCCTGGGGAAGACGAGGCAAGTGGGGCACCAAGAACGTCCCAGCCTACGGGAAAGCGCCCGGGCGCCGATGCTGCTCCAGGGAGTTGAGCCCACGTCCCGTCCTCCAGCCCTGCCCAGAGTAACAGGAAGGAGCCGGGGAATCGGAGGGGAGGTGGGAGGCTACCTGTGGTGCCACTGAAGGCCTCCCAGAGGCCTGGCCTGGCGAATGCGGAGAGGAAAAACTATGGCAGGGCAAGGGCAGCCGACCTCAGAGAGCGCGGACTGCAGTGACCCAGAGCGAGAAACCCCTCCTGCTGACAACCCAGGAGAGGGGCCAAGGCAGAGGCATGCAGGTCGCTCGGGGGGCCCAGGTGTGGTTCTGGGGCTGTTCCGGACGTGAGGCGCGCAGGTGTGCACACTGCGACCAGGGCTAACTGGGAAGCTGGGGCAGGCCCGCCACGTGGCCAGACCCTGCTCGCCGGGGACACCCATCTCAGGCCAGTCACGGGTTAGGGTGACGGCAGCCAGACCCCCAGTGTCAACCGCATGGCCTGAGAAGCCCCTGGGCACGTGTGCATGTGTGCCCCAAACCCTGAGAGGAGGGAGAGGGGGAAGAGATGGGACTGCAGTGTGGCCGTCCCCCACCGGGGTGCTTTCTAGCTTTCCTTCTCGCTCACTCTCTGGTGAGCCCGTGTACCCTCTGGCAAAAATTGAGACAAAAGAAGAGACCAGACTGGCAGGTGACATGGAGGTTAAGGCTCTGGATCCCACATGGCCGACTCCACGGTTGGAGTCCCAGACCCAGCGGCTTGCAAAGCATGCTGGGCATGTGTGCGTACATGCCCAGAATCCCAAGAGGAGAATCAAGAGAAAGGACTGCAGTGTGGCCATTTTCCCCAGGGGTGTGCTCCCTTACTTTCCATCTGTCTCTCTGTCTCTCCGTCTCTTTCTCTGGCGAGCACATGCATCTTATACCAAACAACAACAACAAAAAGGATGCCTACCTCTGCTTCCCATGCCCCCCAAGAAATAAAAAAAGGAAGGAGGGCCAGCACATGATGTAATGGGATGTCGCTGGACTCCCATGTAGTCGACTGCGGTTCAAGTCCTGGACCAGAGGGCTTAAAACACATGCCGGGAGCGTGGGCATGCGTGCCCAGATTCCCGAAAGGAGACTAGAGAAGGGGCTGCAGTGCGGCCACTCCCCTGAGGGTGATTTCTTGCTGTCTCTGCAGTAAGCGCATGTACTCTATAACAAAAATCTCTCTTAAAAAAATAAAAATAATAATAAAATGGGGCCAGCAGTTAGCGTAATGGCTATGTCGCTGGACTCCCATGTAGCCGACCGCGGTTCGCGTCCTGGACCTGGTGGCTTAAAACTCACGCTGGGCGCGGGTGCGTGCGTGCCCAAGATCACGGGAGGAGAAGGGATTGCGGCGTGGCCATCCCTCCGGGGGTGATTTCTCGCTTTCTGTCTCTTTGTCTCTCTCTGTCTCTCTGGCGAGTGCACGTGCCCTACAGCAAAAATCTCTCCAAATAATAATAATAATAATAAAATAAAAAAAGGAAGAGGAAAGACAGGAAGCGGATTCCGGGGTCACCAGAGAGAACTCCCCCTGAGGAATGGCAAGGCCACAGGGCTGACTGTCCCCTGGTCCGAGTGTGAGGGTAGACAGCAGCCCCAAGCTGGCCCGGAGCCCACGCCACTGCCCACAGGTGGCCACTTCCCTGACATCTAGAAGCCCTAGCACTTGGGAGGCAGACACCGGCCCTGGCAGTGTTTCCTGGCCACCGCGAGGAAGATTTAGGCAGAAGTGTGAGGGACGCCAGGAGGCTCCAGGCTGACTGTCAGGAGGCAAAGAAACCCATTCCTCGGGGTGGGCACACCTCACAAGTCTGTCGGGAGACCACCGCACTGCAAGCTGCCCACACTCTCTCGGAGCCTGCCTGCGGCCGGCCAGGGTGGGCGCGGGCCCCGGGGCAGCAGCCATGTCTGCTCAGGAGCCAGCCCTGGCAGGGGTGCGCGGGACCCAGGCCAGGCTGCGGGCGGGCCGTGGGCTCACACCCACCTCCAGGATGTTGGGGATGATGTCGTTCTCACACTGCTGCAGAAAGCGGTCCTTGTCGAAGGCCGGGTCCACCCGGAGGATCTCGGTCAGCACCTCCGACATTTCCGTCTTGGAGAACAGGCCCCCTGCGGGGAGCAGGGGTGGAGTGGGTGGGGGCCCAGGGCCACTTCGCGTGGCCGGCTGGACGGCCCTGGGCGGCTCGCTCACCCAGTATGTCGGTGACCTTGTCCGTGAGGGCCCGGGACGCCCGGATCAACACATTGTCGCTTTCGTCGTACTTCATCTTCATCTCGAAGAACCCTGCGGGGACAAGGACAGGGCTGCAGAGGGGACCCTCGGGGAAAGACGCCCCTACCCCACGCCTTCGGGAGGCCCTGCAGGGAGCAGGTTGTGGGGGACCTTCCTGAGCCTCCTCCTTCCTTACAAGGAGGCCGCCGCCTGCCCACCTACGTGGTGAGGCTGTGGAGATCCCGAGTAAACGGCAGCGTGCTGCCACGCTGGCCACTGCTCCCACCACCAAGGAAACAGGCCTCCAGCGGTCCTCAACGAGGGACGAGGGACGAGGGCCCGGGACACGAGAACCCCACTCCCCGGGCGGAGCGGCCCGGCCCTGCGGACACTCACGGTTCAGC